ATGGAAATATTCTAAAAAGGAGCCTCTCATAGCTTAAAATGAGTGAGAGAGTGTCAGGCCTATATGTAGGCAAAAAAATACAATCCAAGGAGGTGCTATCGAGAGAGTAGATATAGCTTTTAGAAGATAAGATACAACACAACAAATTGTCAAATTCTCTCCACCTCTCTCTACAAATTATGGCAACCTTTTCAAAACCTCTTCCCCCAAACTAGCTAGTTCCTTTATTTCGTGCCCCATAAACTCTCCACTCCACTCCACTTTCCATGGCTGAAGATCATAAAGCTTCAGATCAACACCAAGTTCTATCAATATTTCATGATCACCAACAACCGCCACAAGGTCTCAAGGAGAAAGATGATAATAGTGAACCAATTATTCGAAAGGAAGAAAATGATTGTCGAACACCGACCTCTCGTGATCACAAGATACCTACCATTCAAAGCTGCCCAACCACACCAAGTCTCGTGATCACAAGATACCTACCATTCAAAGCTGCCCAACCACACCAAGAAAAAAAGGACAAGCTTTTGTGCTCAAGAGGAAATTAGCAGTGTTCGATTTCTTCGAAAGCACCGGGCGTGAAGAGGTAGAGTCCTTCTTTCGTTCTTGCTTTGAATCTCCTAGTTCTAGGGTTAAGAAGAGATGTACCAGTATATGAGCCTTCTGGTATATATTTCTAGCTAGCTAGCGTATATTTTTCATTATATTATTCCTATTAATTCCTTGAGATATATATGTAGATATCAATCATGATGCAAGGTCTAGACTGGCTACAATAAGTGGATAGACTACAAATTATGTACAAATTTTATAATAAAATATTCAAATTCATGGGTTTTTTTTTTCTTCTCTTCCTTTCTGGTTCTTGATTTTTTTTTCTGGTCAGAGTTATTCTGTTCTTGTCATTTTATCATCAACAAGCTTCTTGTTCTAGTTGTTGCTAACATACATATACTCCTTTTGATTAAAAGAACATACATGCTCCTCTTCTCTGCAAATTTTGATTAATTTATTCACTCTTGACCATCTGTGGCATTAAATTTAAGTTGCAAGGAAATTCTGAATTTCCAATTTATTAGAGATATAACTAGCACAGTAGCACTAGCACCTCGCAGCAATGTTCTTTTTTTTTTTCTTCTTCTTCTTATATCTCATCCATCAATGAGTTTATCTTAGAGTAAATTTGTAATTAAAAATCTGATTAGATCATGTATTTGTAAAATTCTATATATTTTATTTGTCTAAGCCACCATCCTTGAGTTATATATATATTCATATCAAATTCACCATTCGGTCAGTAAACTGTAAACATCGAAGGAGTTCATCTGTAATCTTTTTTTGCACTGGAAAAAAGTAAATATATGGTAATGCAATTGCCGAAACCAAAAAAGAGTTTCGCGTATAAGTCCATAAATGGGGCCCAAATTATAAAGAAATCCTACAATACTTAAACTCTAGGGAAAAACCAATTGACTTGATACATATACTTTTGATTTTGAACATCAAGAGAGTTAATCTGTAATGTTTTTTTGGCACTGGAAAAAAAAAAGGGGAAATAACTTCTTGAATATCGCAAAGATCTCATCCAGTGAAAATAAGGCTGTCATTCCCACATAGAGTAGAGTGATACTTGGATGCTGCTACCAATTATTTTGGCTATGTGTGTGAAGAAATTCACTGCTCCACGATCCAACTTTTGCAACCACTAAATCCACGTTGTATAGTACGGCCAAACCAATATCTCCAAATGGAAAAGAGCAGGGCCGACCTTGTTTTTAGCTAAGAAAATTGTACTATTTGATGGAAATCAAATTTACTAATATATATACTGGCCAAAAAGAAGTTTTGAAAGTATAAGCAAGGGGTGGAGTGACAAGGTATAGCTTTGGATCCTATTCTCTGTGTCTTTCGCAATTAGGGTAGCTCCAAAACATAAAGGCCTTCCTCTAACTTGTCTCTGGTTTTTGGAAGAGAGCGAGAGAGATGCAACAACAAGTCAATATATCCTCGAGTGGCCATAAGCACTCAAGGCATGAGGATTAACCTTGATCCCATATTTGTGATCTATACATGTTTCCCTCTTTCCGGGACCTTGGACCTGACCCAGCCAGATTTCGACCAGGCTCAAACAATACCAAAAGACCAATACTACCTGGTTCAGAGCCATACTTCGGCCGGAAGTGGCCCGTGGTTCTCCAAACTCTGGCATTTCATGTAAAATTGATATTAAATAACTTATAATTGTGTAATTATTGAAAAATCTATATATTGTTGGCCCCCAAGTAATAAACATGCGAAGAAGTTCCCTGCTACACAATCCAACTTTTGCAACCACTAAATCTAATAGTACTAGGGCTCCAAATGGGAAAGAGGGCATTGCCGCCCTTGTTTTTCGCTAAGGAAGTGGTATACATTTTGGGAAAAATCAAATTTGGCTCAAAACAAGTTTGGAACAGTAACGTATAAAGCAAGGGTACTAAGGAACGTATATAGCTTTGGATCCTATTGTGTGTCTTTCGCAAGGAGAGTAGCTCCAAAAGATAAAGGCTTCCTCTAAATTGTCTTTGTTTTTTGAGAGAGAGAGAGAGAGAGAGAGAGAGAGAGAGAGAGAGAGAGAGAGAGAGAGAGAGAG